GGGTCTACTGAGGATTATGGGGGAAGCAATACACATTCATGTGATAATGTACAGGACAGATCTGCCAAGAAAGCTGACACACTTCCTAAGGGGCCATGAAATAGCCGAATACCACAATGAGAAATGAATCAAAGTTGTGGCTATTTCAATAGAGAAAGCCAGGTTCAAGAAATGCTTCTAAGGCAGATGAATAAATAGATTCTAAGACAGAATATGAGTGGTAAGGGAGAATTGAGGATGAAACCCAGATTTTTAGCTTGGGATAATGCTGAACAGCAACAACACAAATCAGAAGGCCAGCTGGGAACGGTGGTGCACATCTGTAATCCCAGCACTCTGGGAGACTGAGGGAGCCTCGGCAACTTGGAAAGCAGCAAGTGAGACCCTGTCTTGAAAAGCAGCGAGAGGAATGTAGCTAAGTGTGAAGGTCTGGAAAAGGGGGCGGGGGCAAGGAGACCAGACTCATCATATTTCGGCATTCATTATTTGCTTTTACAAAGAGTAAAAAATTACCTTTTGCCTGAAACTAAGTTTGTACAGACATTCCCTGTTTAATGATGGTCCTACTAGGTCATTTAAATGAAGTGGTCACTGAATGCACAACTGAATATAGTATGCACATTACAATGTTCAGAACAAAGAAATGGCCAGCGGAAACTCCAACTTCATGATGTTTCTATTTACATAACTCTTACATGCAGTACTGTAATGTATAACAGAAAGCTGAAGATGCCGTCACATGCCTATAATCCTAGACTTTCAGAGACTGAGGCAGGAAGATCTCCAAGAGTTTGAGGCAGCCTGGACTACACACCGAGTTCAAGACCACCCTGCACTGCACATGAGACTCTGTCTCAAAAAAACAAAACAAAAAAGCATGACAGAACATAAAACTACAATATTGTACTGTACAGTTCAACCAGCAAAAATTGCAGTCCTGTATAAACAAAGTGTACTGTACCAAAAAATGCAGATACTCTATAAACAAGATACACAGAACTATATATTTAAAAAAGATATTCAAGCCGACATTTTGTTTGTTTTTTGGTCTGGGAATTGAACTCATGACTCCACGCTTGTCAGGCAGGTGCTGTGCCACTGAGCTATGTAACCGATCCCCTCAAGTTAACACTTCAATCATGGAATACTTCAAAGTCCTCCTCAGTGTCATCACTGGAATCATGATCAGGAGATGCAGAAGGCCCTAGAAAGTGACAAAGCAGATGTGGAAGACGGAGTGGGGGTCCTCGGCCTGGCTTTCAGCAAGAGTCCCATGGCTGTGGTCTCTTTTGCCATTTCTTTTTTGTTTCATAAACTTCACGATAGCATCATTGTAAAAGCGTACTCATCTGCTGTTCTACTTTCATGAACCATTCAACATTTGGATCCATGGCCTCTAGTCCTAACACAGCTACAGTCACTGGGTTTTTTTGTTGGTTGTTTTGTTTTTTGACACACATTTTCATTCGGTAGGTCAGGCTGGCCTGGAACTCAAAGTGAGCCTCCTGCCTCAGCCTCCTACATGCTGGGGTCATAAGTTTACACCACCATTCTCCATTTGCAGTCACTTTTGCAAACACACCTAATCCCTTTGCAATCAACTTCTTTAGTACATTACTTCAACTCTTTCCTTTTCCTCTTCCTCTCCTAAGTGTTGCTGTGTTTTCGACTCTATTATACTTCGCTCTCCCTCAGTGTATTCCACCAATGCTTCAGTAACTTGCACTTCAGCCTCCAAATTAAGCACGTTAGCAGGCGGCACAGTTACTTCCTTTGAGATTGACGTGTCCATCTTTTTCAATGCTTATGAATTACGCATGGAATATTTTAGGCATTCTCTCCATATGCCTTGTATAGTTTGCTGACACTCCTTCCCAAGTAAATTCAATGTTCTTTTTTTTTTTGATTCAACATTATTAATGCAGCCTAAAATGTGGTATGACTTCCAGAAGTCACTAAGGGTTATTTCATTGTTTTTGTCACTGCTATAGCTTTGCAAAAGTTGTGGAGCAGTGGCCAGTCCCCTGGTCCACTGGCTATGAGACAGCCATTGTGTTTTAGGCAGATACACTACCCTTTCAGCCAGGTGTAGATCAAGAGGATGCTGGGAATAGCCTGGTGTATTATCAAGCAGGAGGATGATTTTAAAGGAATGTCCTTTTCTAGACAGTGATACTTCACTGAGGATATAAAGCAACTGATGAGCCAGTTTTCAAATAAAGCTTACATCACCAATGTCTAGTTATTTGCTCAATAGTAAATGGGCAGCACACGCTTACTAACCTGATCTAATACCTGTGGGTTCTCAGAGTGGTGGAGGAGGAAAGGCCTCAGCTTGAACCCAGTAACATTTCCTCCCAACAACAATATGACTCTGTCCTTGAAAGCTTTGAAGCTGGGCACTGTGTTAACTTTACTGCGTATCTAGGACCTTTCAGGCATTTTCTTCCCAAAAAAGTCTAGTTTCACATACACTGCAGATTTGTTCTTGGCCATAGAAGCCTGTCTAATTTTATCAAACTGGTTAAGAAATTCTTCTGCTGCTTCTAAGTCTGACTTGTCATCCCACCAGTGACATTCCAATTGTACTGACTGAATCTCCCACAAAATCACTGAAACCATCGAATGTAAAATTTCCATCAATTCTTCATTTTCATGTGCCTTAAAGCCTTGTTTTGTTTGTTGAGACAGAGTCTCATTATGCAGTTCAGGTTGATCTTGAACTCACGATGTAGCCATGGCTGGCCTTAAACTAGTAGTGATCCTCCTGCCTCAGCTTCCTGATTGATGAGATTACAGGTGTGCATCACCATTCCTGGCTTCAAAGTCTTGAAGAGAGTGCCTTGGCTTGAGTTACTGACAGACTCATGGCATGCTTTTTTGTCCCTGGTCATCAAACCAGATGGCCAATAATTTTTCCATGTTATAAGTGAGGATCTTCTGCTGCCTAGTTATTATGGTTTTTAAACCTATTGATGTTTTTGTTTTTAGACTTTTTCATTCTGTCTTCATCCTTCAGGATTGTTGAAATGGTTGAATGTGGCAGATTCAAGTCCTATACTATTGTACTAACTTTTTTTTTTTTAACCAGCTTCATAGTCCTGCATGATCTTCATTTTCATGTCAAGATCATTAGTCATCTTTTGTTTCTCTTGGTGAACTCATGCCTTTCCGTCTTGATGACATCTCATACTAAGGGATACATTATAAAGTACCCAGATCTCACCACACTACTGCTCAAGAGAAAAGTATTGTACATTGTCACACTACAGGTACTGCTTGGGCTGAACATCAAAAAAACAGCAAGCACTAGCTGGAATGGCTGGCACCTCACGTAAGTACATACATACTGTATAGTACAGTGCTGCATAGAGGTGTTGCAAATATACAGTACTGATACTGTGTATTTGTAACACTAAATATACAGTGCTTATGCTTCCTAAGTATACTGCATACTTACCAAGTATACTGCCTAATGTGCGAGTTTCCACACAATGAATAGAATGCAGGAGTAGAGAAAGCTACCATAAAGCTGCACTGCCACTCACATTTCTCACATATGACTCACAGGTGGGTCATAAGTCTGAACAGTGTGCCTTCATCATTAGTCCAAACTGTCATTAAACACCTAGGTCTTTATTTATTTATTTTTGATTCTGCATTATGGTGAGTTGTATAATTATTATTTCATTACATATTCCAATGTAATAATAGAAATAAGACACACAGTTAAGTGTAATGCGCTTGAACAGGTAAGTCTTTTTTTTTAATCGGTACCAGGGATCAAACTCACGACTGCCTGCTTGGAAGGCTGGTGTTTATGCCGCTGAGCTAAATCCCCAACCACGAACAACCAAACAGGTAAGTCTTTAAGTGAAGAAAATCTGTACCTTTATCTATAGATTCTGAGCGCTCTGGGTATTTTTAAGAAAAGATCACTGCATCAGAGAAGAGGTAACCAGAACCAGGTGTTCAGTGTTGGCAAGTATATGATCATTTAATTCTTCTGTTTTTAAGCTTGAAGGAAATTCTTAGGGAGAACAATGGCATTTACATAAACCGGAGCACAGGCACACAATCTCTTCTTGTGCTCCCACCATAAAATAGATTCAAGCTGTTTACATTTATTTGGGAAAAAATCATATAAAGGGTGAAAAAGAGAAATTCACCAAAAACCACTCATCAAGGAAAACTGACCACATCCCTTGGGACTTTTACGTGTAGTTTGGATTTTTAAAATTTATAATGTTATTAAAAGGAAACTAAGTTTAGGGGGCTGGGGATTTAGCTCAGTGGCCTAAGCACCTGCCTTGCAAGCAGGCAATCGTGAGTTCGATCCTTGGTACTGATAAAAAAAAAAAAAAAAAAAAAAAAAAAGGAAACTAAGTTAATAGATTATTTGCACAATTATGCTTTGCTACTGTGATTAATTGGCTATTACCTATATTGGCTTGGTCTGTGAGGCCCAGCGCAGGACCCAGTCCAAGTTAATGGCTTCCTACAATCTAACACTGTACAACTTTGCATTACATCTTTTTCACTTATACTTACATATCTGTATTTTCCTATGTTACTTAAAAAGTTTTACAAATCACTTTTAAAAGCCACTTGGTAAACACTTAATTTACATAATTTACTGAACTTACACCAAGATACGTGGTTGTGGCCAATTTAACCCACTTGTAAATGACGCTGTGGAACAACCTTTATGTACCAGGCATTTCCTTTATTTTGGATGCCCTCCCTAGGACAGACTCCCAGAGTATCATCCGCGAACCACGAGAAATAAACTCCCTCTTTTCCAGCGCCTCACACGTGGGGCCGCCCCACTCTCCTCAGACCTCGCCCCCTTCTACCTAAAGCTCCGTCCACTTCACTCGCACCAACCCTCAGGCCCCCTACACCCACCAGGGCTGCTTCCAGAAGAGACAAAAGCCTTTGGTCTTTCTACCCCGCAAAAACCCAGCCTCCCTGGGGGTGACACCCACGCGGCAAAGTACCTTGATCAGAGCTTCGGCGCAGCTACCGGAAGTGCCGGCCCACAATCCCCTGATAGGTGAGCAGAGGCGGGACCAGCTCCGCATTCCTCCCTGTCTATTGGCTTTTGAATGTGTCATGTTAGAAGTCCTTCCCATTGGCCAATAAGCGCGGGCTTTGCCGCAAGGGTTACTGGGAGTGGTGGTTCCTGTAAAAATGGAGAGGAGACGGTCTTCAATTTCTTCCTCTCTTAAGCGCTTTATCTCCCCCTCCCATTTTTCAACAGTTCTTTTAGTCTAAGAAAAAGTCAGTCCGAGAGTCGATATGGTTTTTCGGATATTTTTAAATTTGTTTTTCTTTGGGAGAAGAATCAGAGACCCCTTCAAAGTTCAACGCACTCTACCCAGAAAAATGATTTTATTCATAAAATATTGCACATTCGATTGATGCCGTTTCACAGGCCTGTCCAGGTTACAAATCCATGTTCTACTCAAAATGTACCCACCTATGGCCATAGTACATGGAGTTAGTCTCTTTGGGCTTCTTTGGTCTCAGAGCTTCTGATGTGCCTTAGGTGCCGTGATCCATCACCCCTCTTGGACACCACAGCCAGGGTCCCTCCTGGCACGCGGACTGCTCCATCTGCGATGTGGGCACTACAGAGAGTGCGGGGTGGGTGCTTGGAGGAAGAACACGTTTATGGCCTGTTCTGGGTACTTCTACACCCAGAACAGGTTTTTTTCCCCCCATGCCTTCCTCCTGGAACCCCTGGTCAGAATTAAATTTATATGTTTTTGGAGCAATGTAGATAGCAATGAGAGCAAGACAAAAACTTTTAAAAGTCTCCTTCAGCCTTCGAACAAACGCTACCTCCTCCGAACACATCTTTCACGGACAGGGGAGAGGAATAGCTTCCTAAATTCCTGGATTAGGGACGGAAGTGCAGAGCAAAATTCAGTCACTGTTCCTAAAGCACTCATCATGCTGTAGCATATCTTCTTCGGGTGCCAGAAGTCGTCTGCGCAAGGCAGAGATCCCGCGGTAATTCGGCCGGTGTTCCTAGGCGCAGTTCTCCTCCTTGGAAAGGGAGAACTATTACGTGCGCCTGAGCAGAGCTCGGGGTGCGGGGGAGGCTGCGGTAACTGACGTCCTCGCTCCCCGCGCCCGGACCGGCCAGGGCGGGCGGCTCCGGGCTTCCGCAGAGCTCGAGCTGCAGGGCGCGGAGCACATGCAGCGAGGCGTCAGTCTCACCGCCAGCCCTCCCGCGCTCGGCAGCCCCGGGCGGGGGCTCGATGTGCGTGGGGCCGAAGGGCGGACGCGCCCGGGCCTCGCGCACTCCCTCCCACCCTGCGGGTTACCCGCGGGTCGGTGGGCGTGGGACTCGGGGCCCGCCCCGCCCCGGCCGCCCCGCCCCGCCCCGCGACCCCACCTTTCCGCGCGGCTCCACCCCGCGCCCCTCGCCGGCGCCGCCCCGCGCAGGTCCCGCTCCAGCCGCACCTCCTCCGGCTCTGCAGAGGCGGCGGCGAGCGAGCGGGCGCCGCGGGGCCGGGCCGGAGCCGAGCCGGGGTCGGGCGCTGCGGGGACCCCGCAGGCGGGGCCTGGGGGACCGCGATGGGCGTGGAGATCGAGACCATCTCCCCGGGAGACGGTACCGGGCGGCGCCGGAGGGCGGGGTCGGCCCCGGGAGGGTGCGGGAGAAGCCCCGCCGAGCGCCCGGCTGGGAGGCCACCGCGGCCGCCTCTCGCCCCCGCCGCTCGGGGTGCAGCCGGCCGGGCGGAGGTCTGCGGCGCCGGGTTCCCGGGGCTGGCCTCGGCGCTGCTGCCCTGCCCTGCTCCCTGGTGGGCTCTGCATGCAGGGAGGGACTGCTGGGGTCTCGGCCGCCTCTCCGGGGCGCAGGGCCTCGCCTTGGGCTGGCAGCCGCCGGAGAAGGGGGTCCGAGCCCCGCGAGCAAGGGGGGACTTCAGCCGGTCCCTTGGTCGTCGCCGTCCCGCTCCCCGGCCATCCTGTCGCCTCCTGGCCTCCGCATGCGAACCCCAAAACCCAGGCCTCCCGCCGCTCCACCTGCCTGGATGGCCTGAGATACCTGGAGTCAGCAAGTCCAGAGTAGAGCTTGCTCTTTCTTCCCTGCGTGCCCACCCACTGATGCTCCTCTGGGTGGCCTGCCCCCGCGTAGGGGACCGCCTCACTTTCCAGAGCCCTTGAATAACTGAGTATGGGTGTGTAAGGAATATGTTTAAGATTTGATTCTGACCGAAAGCCCCCATCCTCTGCAGAATCTGACAGGCGAACTTCCTCTTAGATATTATTGGCAAGCCCGCCCCTCAGGTAACTGGAGGGCCTCTTGCTTTGAGCCACCGGCCTTGGGTTTTTGGCTTTTGTCTTTTGAGACAGTCTTGCCATGTGGTTCAGGCTGGCTTTGGACTCACTATGAGCTCAGGCTGGTGTCAGCTCCTGGCAATCTTCCTGCCTCAGCCTCCCTAGGGCTGGGATTACAAGCCGGGCCACTACACCGTGCACACCCTCTTTGCTGTAAAGCAGGGGTTCCTGTTAGTCTTAACCATTACCTAGATCACCCCAGGGGTACAGGCTTTTTTGCTCCTGTAGGGAACCTTGGAGCTGGAGTCCAGAGAACCTTTCCCCAGGCCAGCCCTCCTTTGCAGCTTGTAAACTCACTACCCTTCAGTCCCAGTCTCCAGCGCCCCCCTCCACTTTTTTTCTTCACCACAATCTGAGAATTCTTTAAAATACGTATATAACCAGGTGCTTCCCTCCAGCAGGAAATCTTTTAAGGATTCTTTCTCCCCTTCCCAAGCATCCTGCCTCCTGCTGACATGGACTGGTCTAACCTTCCATCCCGGAGCTCCATCTCTTGTCACTGCCCTGTGCCCACCGCCGACTTGTTCTCTGGCTTTGCCAAGCTGCCTGCATGTTACTAAACACGCCACCCTTTTAGCAGACATTTATGGAGCATGTTCAGTGTGGATGTAGCTCCAGGGTCACAGCAGTGAACAGACTCAGCTCCCAGACTCCTCTAATTGTATCTGGGTCCCTGTAGCCTAGCTGTGTAGCCCAGGCTGGCTGTAGCACTTGATCCTCTGGGCTTAGCCTCCAGGGTGTGCTGACTGATTAGAGCTCTTTACCATCATCCCTGGCCCAAGCGGCTTTATCCAGCCCCATGACTTTGAATTCCACCCAGATTTATGCCTCTAGTGAAAAATCTGCATCTGCCTACTTGCAGTATAAACTCAGATGTCTGATGGGCATCTCAAGATTTCCACTATAAAATCTGTTCCCATTCAGGAGACATCCTCCACGCCCCCTGCTTGCCCGAACTGCATCCTCTTGTTTTTTCGTCTTTCCTCATCCTTAGATCATCTCCCATCCACCTGCAGGTGCTCTTAGACCACCTCCCTGGCTCCTCTGCTGCCCTCACCTAATTCAAGCCATCACTGATTTCTTGTCTGGATTATTGCAGCAGATGCCTGACTGTCCACCCCTCACAGAGCAGCCAGAGTGATCTTATAAAATCTTAATTGAGATTATATCATTCTCTTGCTTGAAACTCTGCAGTGGTTTCCTGGTGTACTTAGTGGTAAACCCAGCTCTGCAAGGCCTGCGGGATGCATGTTTCCCCACGTCTCTCCTCCCTGTCTCCTCACCTAGACTCCTTTTTTGTCTTTCTTTCTTTACTTTTTTTGTTCCTGTTTGTGTTTTTGAGATAGAAGCTCACTATGTAGCCCAGCCTAGCTTCAGACTTTGCTGATCCTCCTGTCTCAGCCTCCTGAGTGCTGGGATTATAGGCATACACCACTACGCCTGCTCTAGTCTCTTTTCTGTTCTACAAATACACCTGCCTCAAGTTCTATGTGCTGGTTCTTTATAATTCCTCCAAGAGGCCTTCTTGGACTCCCCTTTTTTATATATTATTTTTTGATTTGTGGAGAGGAGGTCTCACTGTGTAGTCCAGGCTGCCCTTGAACTCTTGGTAATATATATTGCCTCAGACTCCCAAGCTCTGGGATTACAGGTATGCACCACCATGCCCAACTATTTTTTATTTCAAGAGAAAGTTTTGCTAAGTCACTAAATTCCCCAGGCTGGGCTTGAAATTTTGATCCTCCTGCCTCAGTCTCCCAGAGTGTATATATATATTTTTTTTTTTGGGGGGGGGAGAAATTTACCACAATCTGTAATTATCTTGTTTACTTGATACCTGTTTATCTCATTAGCATATAAACTCCAAAAGAGCAGGAAACTTGTCTGTGTTGTTTACCATCCTAACGCTTGGATCAGGCACAGGTCTGGTACAGAGCAGATCCACGGACAGTTACAAATGATTCTGTGTCTTCATTCTTGGGAGCAGCCATCATTCCGCATTATAATCTGCAGTCTATGTCTCTGTTTCTCTAACTTTGGAATCCACATTTTGCTCTGTGTCTCGGAATCTAGTCCAGGCCCGACATAGAGTAGACCACCCATAAATATTTGTGAAACAGACAAGGAAAGTAAAGGAGTTATCAAAGAAAAAGGGGAGAGACTGGAGCTGAGGGAGCCAGTGGCATAAAGCTCAGATCCAAGCGACGAGACTAGTTGGGCACAGAGCCAGAACTAGGGCCTGGCCATCTCTACAGTATGGACAAGAATGTGTGCCCCGCTGGGCGTGGTGGTAATCTACGCATTTGTGAGGCAGAGGCAGGAGGATCGCTGCAAGTTGGAAGCCAGCTTGGTTATGTAGTGAGACCTCCTTACTTCCCTCCCCCATACAAAGAATGAGGTGGTGAGCACAGGGCCACAGCTGCCCTTGAGTGTCTTGGCTGAGGTTTTCTAATCCTCCTTCATCTGTCCTCGTGTCTCCCTGCAGGAAGGACATTCCCCAAGAAGGGCCAGACATGCGTGGTACACTACACAGGTAGGCCTTGCCCCTCCGCCCCACCCCAGCCCCTCTGAGGCAGGCCTGTCTCCAGGCTGGCCAAGAGGTGTCTGTCCTCTTCAAGGCCACGCTCGAAGCACGGCCACTTCTCACCCCCCACCACCCCCTCAGTGGCCATTGCTGGTGGCAGCCTCTAGGTGAATCAGGCATCTCCAGCCCTTGCTGCAGGGAGGGTGGCACCTCGGCTGCTCCTGGTTTTGATGTTTGGAGATCTCTGAAAGCCCTGTGGGGCTTTGAGATAGAAGCCCCTCTGTCCCCCAGGGGGCCCCCTTTTCATCTTCCTCTGTCCTTCAAGGGAGTTGGCTCCTCAGAATGGACCGTTTCAGTTCAGTCTGCTCTTTTTGGGTGCTGACGGTGCCAGATGCCTGGCTGGGGACAGGGGACACACAGGCCAGCAGGCAGGTGCCCTGTCTTCACTGGGGCTGAGGGAGAGGACGGGAAGAGCACAGACCAGGCACCTGCAGGCTCCAGGGCTGCGGAGAGAGCAGTGCCTGTCTCCAGGGGCTGGAGGAGCCCAGGAGAGGCCCCACATCTCTGCCGTTCCCTCCTGGATGTTGTATATCTGAAGACAGTCCGGGCCAAGGGACAGAGGAGCTGTCAGGAGGGAGCGGAGGGCTGTCTTGTGACCTGCTTCCCCAAGTGGCAGACTTGGTGTGTGACAGCCACTTAGCAAACAGCGCAGCCAGCTGAATTCCCAGGCCATACTCAGCGAGGCCCTTTTTAGCCCAAGTGAAGCAGCAGGCTGCTGGGATGTCGTGTTAGCAGCCGCTGATGTCAGTGGGCTGGGGCTGTGTTTCATCTCCTTGTGATGGGGCCTAATTACCATAGGGCCACTGAGGCCTCTGATGGGAGTAATTGATTTATCTGACCTCCACGCAGGCAGCCAGACTGGCATTTATCAAATGACAAGCAACAACATCCCTTTGTAAGTCTTTCCTCCACGTATCCATGGAGCAGGGCGTGTGCACCAAACGCTGCCATCAGCTCCGAGGTCTTATCAAACGCTACAGGAGGCTGGAGGGGATTTGTTCTGTTTATTTTGCTTGCTTTCCTGGGACTGGGACACATGGCCTTGTACCTGGCAGGCAAGTGCTCTAGCCACCCAGCCCCTGTACGGGATTTTTGGTGAAGCTTTTTAAAATGAAGAATAGACACAGCAGCGAATAGAATGGAAGATAAACAACTAAGTTATTACTAATTAATATGTGATGGTGGCACTCAAACGAATTGTAGGCAAGTGCTTTGCTACCAAGTTGCAACCCAGCCCCGTGAGTGTTTTCAGTGATAACGCTTATTTAGCCACCACTCAGATAAACAGAAACTATGCCACCAGCCTCAGAAGTTTCCCCGTGCTCCATCCCCTCATCCCATCTAAGGGTAATGATTGCTCAGGCCCGCCACCCCCACCCAGCAC